TGGCTTCCCCACAGCGCGCCAGGTTGTCTTGGCTAATCCCATTTCAACATCTCCATCCCCGTTTGGTTGCCATTGCTTTCAGCCGTGCTCGATAGAGATTCCCCATCTCCCTATGCCCGCGGGGTGCTGCTGCTGCCGCTGCTGACTCCTTCCTGCGGGATGGGAGGCACGATCTGGATGGGTTCTGGATGGAAATCACAGGAGCTCGCTGGGTGCCTCACCCCAGCTGGCGTCCATCCCTGCGAGAGGCGATCTGTGGGTTTGGTGGTGAAGGGACTTCGGAGGGAATCAGGTGTAAACGGCCTCTGTTTCACTGGAGCAGCTGATCGTGTTAGACACGTCCTAGCAGAAGTGGTCTGAGCAGCCTGCATTTCGCTTCCAAAGCTTCTGGTTCAGCTGTGACAAGAGATTAATCCTCGTCTGTTTGATGGAGGAGCTGCTCAGGGGTGGATTCATGGGGCGGGCAGTTTGAATCCCTTGTTTGGCCACGGCGTGCCCCTGGGGCGACCTGCCTGATGGTGCTTTTCCTCCTGCAGAGGGGAAGGGGTGTCCTGCAAATGTCCCTCCTGGGAACCCAAGTGTGGCAGCATGGCTGTGCCTTGTGAGCTCATTAAGCGAATAAATCCCAGCGACGCTCGGCTCAGATGGGGCTCCTGCAGGAGAATTTATAAAGTCATTAAAAACATTTTAATGGAAAATACTAACCATCTATAACACAGCATCTGTTGTCATCTCTTTGGAAAAGCACATCTAAATTAAGAGGATGGGAGACAGCAAAACAGACTGGTGGGCTTTCTGCTGAAACAGCCGGCTGGCCAGGGCTGTGAGGGGAATGTTGGTGGGAACTCCTTCCCATCTGTAGCACCAGGCCAGGCCCTGGCTCCCTGGAGTACTCTGGGAGCGCCAGGCAGAGCCAGATTTGGCAGGGATTGGTTCAGGGAGGGAAGAGAGGAGCAGCTCTGCTCTGTTTCTGTCTCATCTCGTCCCTCAGTGTGTGTGAAGACATGAGGGGAATGCATGGAGGAACATCTGCAAGGAGCTTTGGCATCCCTGCGCTTACCCAGTCCAGCCTGGAATGTCCTCTGCTACTAAACCGGGGTGAAACAGGCAGGGCAGCGAAGGGGAATAAACTCAAGCTGGTCCCATGTGGGACCAGCAGCCTGACTTCCCCTACAGATGGGGGCAACAACTGGCTCCTATTTGATTGTCACGGGGCTGTTTCAGCCCTGGTGGATGGTGGCAGTCAATAGCTTCGATGTGAGAAAGCGTTGGCAGAGAAGGGGTCAGGCAGAAAGGTGCTGGGCTGCTGGTATGGCGTGGCTCTCCAGTCCTCCTCTTCCAACCTGGTCTCATGGCACAGTCTGCGGGACTGCTGAGGAGGACTTCTAAAGCCATTAAAAACGTTCTCGTTGAGTACATTATCCATCCATCCCACAGTGTGCGCTGTTTTGTCTCTGGGAGAGCCCATGTCACGGCTCGGGGGCTCCCAGGCAGGCCGGGGGGATTTCAGCTGCAGCCACCAGCTGGTCGGCAACTGCTTCGGCCGAGACCCGCGCTTTACTCTGCTGCTGCCTGGGCTCTTCAGTCTCTCTGACTCTCCATGACCAGGGCACGCAGCCAGCCCAGTTCTTGCGGCCACGTGTCGGATCCGAGGGGCACACAGCGCCCCAGAGCAGCCACAGTTTGTCCTTTGAGTTGCTGCTCTTCCTCCTCCTGAGAGCCTGGGTGGGAGCAAGCAGCTGTGGGGGGCTCTGCAGAGGGGGGGGGACCCACAGCCCCTCGCTGAGCCAGGCCTTGGCCCTTGTGTCGTGGGTTTTGGCAGCGTGAAGCAGTCTCTTGGAAGCTGACCAGGCTGGTGGGTCCAGCGGAGCATCCGTTTGCCTGGGCTGGAGGATCAATCCTTGCAGCTTCAGCTTTGTGGCCTCCAGGGTAGCTGGAATATGCTGTAAGACCCCAGCGTGCAGAGGGGACAGACCCCAGCCCTGGTGTGGGAGGCTTGTGCTGCTGTCCTGGCTCTGCACTGCATCCGAAACACAGGGTGTGATGCTGAGCCTTCCCCTGTAACGCTGGTTGTAAGTTACTCTGATCATTCCCTTCCAGGGGTGCTGCCTTCTGCAAAGCACGACAGCAAAGTAATGCAGAGGGTTTCTTGTGTCCTCCTGATGATGTTTCCTTGCCTGTGCCGGGGGTACAGGGGCCCTGGCTCAGCTCACTGGGAGCTGCTGCTGCTCCTTGTGGGGCTGGGAGAGCGGCTGGTGCTGTGGTGCTGCAGCTTTGCCTTGCTCATGGGCCTGAGGTTGAACAGATTTGTTTAAAAGAAAAACCAAGGAACCCCCCCTGGATTTGGTGCAACAAAGGGACTTGTTTCTGTTTCAGTGTTGGCACTGCAGAGAGAGGCTTGGCTGGGCAGGGGAGCGCAGGCTGAGGAGTGGAGCGGGTGTCAGGGTGAGGGCAGTGCTGGTGGCCCTGCACATCTGCCTCCCTCGGGAGCAGGAGGCGGCTGGGGGATGCTCCTGCCCCAGAAAGAGCTGCTGCTGCTCCCGTGATTCCTGGTGGTCACTGCTGGGCCCCACGGGAACACCATCCCTGTGCACAGGCTGCCCCTAGTCCCACCACCCACAGGCTGAGGCACTGCTCTTTTCCAGGCTCCTTTTCCAGGGCTGTCCCAGCCAACAGGGTCCTCGATTTCGAGGACCTTCTCTTCCAGCATCTCTTCTAAGCATCATCTGAGGGACCCTCCTGGCCAGGAGCAGCTCTATCCGACCACATTCCTGCGGAAGGGAGGGATGTGCATGGGGAGAGCTGCCACCAGGTCACCCAACTGCTGCTGGATAATGTGGGGCTTGTAGCAAGGGGAAGGGTCCAGGTACCAGTGCCCCGAGAGCTGGAGATGGCTGAGCTTGAAGGAGAGGTGGACTTGAGCTCCTTGGCACTCCCCCTCTGCTTTTGGCCCTGATGCTGCAGCTGCTGGGCTGCTGGACTTGCAAATCCAGCAAAAAGCTGGTGTTATTTCTGGGAGCTGGGGTAGGACTCTGTTTTTGTGCCTGGTCAGTGCTCAGTCAGGTCCTCAGAGGCCCGGCTGGCAGTGGAGGCAGGCAGAGAGGAGGGCTGGCTGGAACCCAGCCCCCTCTGATCTGGCCACTGTCTCCCTCGAGCCCCTCATGGGGACAAGAGAGAGGCAGGCGAGGACCCTAGTGCCAAGGGCAATACGCTCTCGGTCCTGAGGGACTCCTGTGACTTCTCCCTGTGGTAAGTCTCCTCACTGGTTTTGTTGGTCTGTTTTGCTACAGGCTGTGGCGGCTGACATGGATCTTCTCTTCCTCTGCCCCTTCCTGCTGGTGCTGCTGCTGTCCCGGGGCAGCTTCACTGACCTGGAGAAACAGAGGGTGGACTCTGGCTTGGAGATCTGTATCCTTCTCTGCAGCCTGCCCCTCCTGTCCTGCGGGCGCAGTGTGCCTGCAGGGAGCTCGCACGCAGGGAGGGGGGCAGAGACCACCCGAGGGGGCACAGGACGGAGGAAGAGAGAGGACCCAGAACCACTGAGCAGTGGCTTCAACCCAGCTCCTGGGTTTGCACATGAAGTGCGTGACTCCGTGCAGGAGCAGAGATGGGGTTTTCAGTGGTGTTCTCTCAAGCACAGTGCTTTTCCTTTCCACTGCACCAAGCACGTTTCCCAGCCTGCTTTTGGGAGTGGGGTGGCCAGTGGGATGGCAGAGCATGCCTGTGGGTCTCAGTGCTTTGGGATCACTGGCTGGGATCATGGAAGAGGGCTCCTGGGCTTGTGGCGCTTGGTCTCCTCTGTGCCACAGGCATTTATCGCCCACGAGGAGGTGGGGTAGTGCGAGCCCTTCTTAGCACATGGCAGCATCCCCTGGTCAATAGGCAAAGTGTGAAAAGGTATTTAATCTGTGTGCTTGTTGACACATGTATTGGGAAGGTGGGAATTGATCTTTCTCCTCCTCCAGCCTGTCAGCCAGTGTCTGGTGTGTGGAAAGCTCTCCACGAGCACCCAGTGCTAAGTGTCCCACTGGGATGTTTGGGCAAAGGGGCTCATTGGAAGACCATGTTTCATCCTGGCTCAGGCACTGCCCTCTGGCACCCCATAGAGAACTGGGGTCTGGGATGGTGCTGGGTGCCCAGCTGAGGGAGAGAGTGGGAGCATGGTGGGAGTGTGGTGGGAGCGTGCCAGTGGTGTCCTTGATGATGGTGCAGATAAGAAGCTGTTTGAGGTGAAGCGCAAGGACCAGATGAATGCGCTGAAGAACCTGATCGAGCTCAACGACATCAACCAGCAGTACAAAATCATTGACATCATGCTCAAGGGACTCTTCAAGGTGAGCCACAGCACGGGCCACCCTCTGGGCTCGGTGTGCTGTGGCGCTGGAGAGGGCTAGGGGGCTCCGTGGGGTCAAAGAGAAGAGCTGGGTGGGATTTAGGTCCTGAAGGGAGATTGCCCAAAGAAGAGGTAAATGCTCCATCCCTGGCAGTGTTCAAGACCAGGTTGGACAGAGCCTTGGGCGACACGGTCTAGTGTGAGGTGTCCCTGCCCATGGCAGGGGGTTGGAACTGGATGATCTTAAGGTTCTTTCCAACCCAAACCATTCTGTGATTCTATGCTGTGGAGCTTCCAAGTGGGGCAGTTGGGGCAGCACCCCTGGGGTACAGGGAAGGGCAGGCAGAATGGGGCAGTAACCGAGGGCTCTGTCAGGTGCTAGAGGACTCCCGGGCTGTGCTCATTGCTGCTGATGTGCCTCCCGATGGACCTTTCCCTCAGGATGAGAAGATAAAGGATGGTAGGTCTTCTCCTGTCCTTACCCACTCCCTTTCCTGGTGCTCCCATGCACTGCTGCCATTCCTCCTGGGACCCCCCTGTACCCAGACCAGACCTGGGCTGGTCCCTGTCTGTTCAAATCACCTTACTGCTGCCCTTCTGACTGGTTCATACTGGGGAGCCTGCCCGCTTGCCCTCACCAGCGGGATGGGGCACGTGTGCTGATGGGGCGGGTGGCTCTCCCCACAGCGTATTCCCACGTGGTGGAGAACACGGCCTTCTTCGGGGACGTCGTCCTGCGCTTCCCCAAGATCGTGCACCACTACTTTGACCGCAATTCCAACTGGAACAGCCTCATCCGCTGGGGCATCGGCTTCTGCAACCTGACAGGCGTGTTTGAACAGGGACCCCACTCACAGGTCCTGGGGCTGGTACGGCTCCTGATCCCTTCTCTGCTGCTGGGGCTGGGGTGGGAGCTTTTGGGGGTCAAAGGAGGGCATGGGGAGTGTACCCCATGTCTGAGGGTTGTCCTAGGGCTGAGGGATGGGGGAAGAACATGGAGGGGGCTGGTGGGGAAGAAGAGACCCTGGTCATGGGGTGCACCACTTCCCGATGCGGTCTCACTTTGCTCCACAGATGGCTCAGGAGCTGGGAATCAGTGAGAAATCACCCGATTACCGCAATCCCTTTAAAATGGAGCACTCCGAGGTAAGACAATGACAATGCCACCAGCTCACCCCATGGGCTTCCCTGTCCCAGTTGCAGCTCCAGGCAGCCGGCTGGGGAAGGGAACCGGTGGATTGGTGGGGAATGGCCAAACCGCCCATCTCGGGGGAAGCACGGTTAAAACATGCGTGTGAAACTCCCCTGCTGGGCTGCGGTTGGCTTCAGGCACCCAGTGCCATCTCCCTACTCCTGTGGCCCATGGGAATGTCAGGACCCCATTCCCCTCATGCTGTGTCCAACCTCAGGCCCCCTGGCACTGTTGGCTTCAGTGGGTTTGGGGAGGTTGTGCCTCTGGGAGGCTGCAGGAGCTCCCCCGTGCTGACCCCTCACTGTCACCCCACAGTTTTTCCCCAGCGCCGACACCTTCCAGAAGGCGCTGCGGGAGGAGGAGAAGCGGAGGAAGAAGGAGGAGAAGCGGAAGGAGATCCGCAAGGGCCCACGCATATCCCGCTCTCAGTCGGAGCTGTAGCTCCCTCTCGGAGGCCTTGGGCCGGTGCCCGGTGGTCCCCTTTCCATTTGTGCCGTGGGGTTTTGTTTCATTGCCTTTCTCTTTGGTTCAGCTGGGGCTGGGTGGTTGTGCTGGTGGGTTGCCCCAGTGGGGCTGAGGGGGGCTGATGTGGGGTTCCCCTTCCCCAGAGCCAAAGCACAGGTGGGAAGGCAGCGGGGCCGTCCCCATGGCCTGCCGGGAAGTAGGGTGAGGGGGATCCGGGGGATCCCCCCCCTCTGCAGCACGCCCTGCACTGAACGTGCCTCCTCCATCGTGGTGGGCTGGGGAGCGTGTCACGCCAAACAGCCTCATGAGCAATGCTGCTTCACTCAGTTCTTTTTTTGGTTAGACTGGTGATCTCATTGGCACCCCCCACCCGGTTATACCTGGTCTCTGCCCAGCCGCTGCCTCTTCCGGAGCAGCTCTCCCCTCTTCCCAGCACCTGTTTCACCAAGCAACCTGTGTTTCATCGGTTGGCTGTAGTTGAGAAGGCTGATGGCATCAGTTCTTGGCCCGGCAACATTCTGCTCTCCTGGGCGGGCATTCCCTGAAGGGAGGCAAACGTGGTGATGTTTGGGAAGGAGGGATTTCAGTTCTTGGCCACCTTTGCAGCTGATAGGTGTGCATAGTGCAAGTACTGCTGACGCTGAAGGTGCTGGGGAATCAGCCGTGAGCCCTGCGGGCCCACCATCGCTCTGCTGCGGAGCTGGTCTGTTCTGTATTAGTTCCTTACAGCCCCTTGTCAGGGGGACAGCCAGCTAAGGGCATGTGGGAATGGCAAGGCTGAAGCAGGGAGAGAGTGAGCTGGGGGGCTGCGACCCTCCGCACGGTGTCTGGGCTGCAGGGGCATCAGAGGTAATGACCTGGCCCTGCGACCCCGCACAGCAGCCTTGCGCTTTCCCATGGTGGCTGATGAGCTCGCAGCAGACTAGGCTCTTGCAGGGGGACTGTGCCCGGCTGGGGGCACCATAGCCTGCGGGAAGGGGGAAACGTCCTGAATGTTTAAGCCAGGTCTGTCCGGCTGGGGGTTGGCAACGGGTGCGTGTTTTGTTTTAATGGAATAAAATTGACTTTATTTTTTTTTTTATTAAGTAAAAGAAGATTGGCTTTTGCTCCTGTTCCTGGTGAGAGCCGGCGTGTGCCAGAGGGCGCTGGGTCAGGCCCCTCCGGCCACGAGGGTCGGTGGGGAAGCTGCGGAGGGAAGGAGATGTCAGCGGGGCGGGACAGTCCCCATTCTCCAAGCACCATCACCGCCACCTTG